ATTCAGGGAACTTCGAGCTGCGTGTAAAACGCCGTGGGAACGCCTCTGCGTGACGAGTCATGAAGCACGTATGAAATCTGTCCAATGGCGAGACGGAACGTCATAGGCGGGGTGACTATCGACCAGGAAACTATAAAGCATCCCCGAAACACAAGCGCAACAGCTTCTGAGTCTTCACAAGCGCTCTATGTATGAATATTGTCTGTCTGTCTGATATTGTATATATATATATATTGGAAAATATGGCGAGCAAACAACAGCAGAATTTCAGAAAGTGTGTTCATCCCTGCCCTCGCTTCATCACGGGTGGGGATACACACGATCTGTGTGTTGTTTGTTTGGGAGTGCAGCATGCTCAGTCGGCTCTCGAGGGGCCGGCTGTGAGCACTGCGAGTGTCTGTCCATGAAGACACTTCGCTCCCGCCGGGCACTCTTCGAGGAGAGTGGTTCGGTGCGCGCTCCCCCGGGCTCGGGTCCCGCTGCTGCCGAGGCACAGCGAAGGCTTGCGTCGTGGGGTTCGCAGATGGATCTATCAGCGGGATTGAGACGGGCCCCGCCCTTTCTCTGCCCTTACCTGGTAGATCCAGTGCCTCAGTTCTCGCTGCGGGGGTCCGCGTTGCGGTTTCTCCTGCCCGGGCTGAGGCGCCATCACTTCAATTATCCAGTTCTGAGGAGCTGGATGTTGAAAGTGTGGATGCAGAGTCTATGGACTCAGTGGAGATCGGGGACTCGCCATCCCAGTCTCCCGCGAATGTAGAGCTGATGGAGGTTTTGACTCGGGCTGTGGAAAAATTAACCATTGAATGGCCAGTTGAAAAACAAGAGTCGAGAGTAAAAAGTAAAATGGATGAGAGATTTTTAAAATCACACTCACTACCTCCACGCCGGTGTTTGCCCTTTTTTCCCGATCTACACACCGAGGTGTGTAGATCGTGGAACAAACCAGTGTCAGCTAGAATTTTGACACAACAGACCTCTATGTACGCTAATATTGCTGGGTCTAGGGGACACGGTTATGGGGCGATGCCGAGGATGGAGGAAGTTTTGGCGAGCCATCTTTCTCCTGAGACGGCATCGTCTTTTAAAACACCGGCGTTGCCCACCAAGCCACTCAGAAATACTTCGGTTTTGGTGGGCAAAGCTTATTCAGCGGCGGGACAGGCAGCATCTTGCTTGCATACGATGGCCATCCTCCAGGCGTATCAAGCAGATCTGCTGAAGGATATGAGCGAGGGGGAGGTCGTCAGCACTGACGTGATTAATGAGCTGCGTCAGGCGGCAGATATTTCTCTCCGTGCCACCAAGGAGACGGCCAGATCAGTCGGCCGCTCTATGGCAGCCCTGGTGGCCACGGAGAGGCATTTATGGCTAAATCTGGCTAATATGAAGGAGAAAGATAAAGCTTTTCTCCTGGATGCGCCGCTGTCGACCGAAGGTCTTTTTGGTGGTTCTGTGAACGCAGTGATTGAGAGATTCCAAGAGGGAAAAAAGCAGGCAGCGGCGCTCCAGAAATGTCTCCCCGTCCGTACTCATCCTTCGGGGGCTGCTGGGCGAGAGCAGCCCCGCCCGTCGGGTTCCTCGCATAGGGCGCAGCAGAAGAAGAGCGTCGCGTCTCGGGCTCCTCCCCAGCAAAACTGGGCTGAGACGCGGCGTTCTCAGGCGAGGTCTTCCCGGGATAGAACCGATCTGAGGACGGTTATTGTCGCCAGGAAGGCTTCGTCGAAGAAGTCCTGACGCCACTGGTGTCAGGCTACTGAGGGTGGTCCCCACCGTGAGACAGAGGTGTTCGCCGCTGAATCCGGCGCCCGCTCTCTCTCGGTGCCCTCAGGGGTTCGTTCTGCCAACCCTGCCTGTAATGGGGGGTGCAGACGGTCCCAGCGAGCGATTTCCCGAGGGACGCTCGTTTGCTCCGAGGAGCGATACAGAACGGTCGTTGAACCCTGCCTGTGCGCGGTCACAGGGCGCTGTTTCTGTTTTAAAAACTACTCCAGAGGCCAGTCTCGAGAGGCTGGTACCCTTAGTAGAATTTCTGGTAGAATGGGGAAGTCTTCCAAATATATCTCGTTGGGTCCTGCAGACTATCGAACGCGGGTACGCGATCCAGTTCAGGTCGCGTCCACCTCGTTTTCGGGGGGTTTTGCCCACAGTGGTGACCCCCGAGCAGGCTCTGGTTATGGAACAAGAAGTGAAAGCTCTGCTAATGAAGGGGGCGATAGAACGAGTTCTTCCTCCCGACAGAGAGCTGGGGTATTACAGCCGGTACTTCATTGTTCCGAAGAAGGATGGGGGCTGCGTCCGATTTTAGACCTGCGCCTCTTAAATCGGTCAGTAGGGAAGCTCAAGTTCAAAATGCTGACTCTCAAGCAGATCGTGTCACAGATCAGGTCCGAGGACTGGTTTGTCACGATAGACCTAAAAGACGCGTACTTCCATATCTCCATCCTTCCGCAACATCGGAAGTTCCTGAGGTTCGCTTTTGGGGGCGAAGCGTACCAATATCGGGTCCTTCCATTCGGCCTAGCGTTATCTCCTCGAACCTTCACGAAATGCATGGACGCGGCCTTGGCTCCGCTGCGTCTCCAGGGCATTCGCATTTTAAATTACATCGACGATTGGTTGATTCTGGCTCAATCAGAGCATCAGGCGATTCGGCATCGAGATGCCGTCCTCGCCCACATCAGAAGGTTGGGGTTGAGACTCAACGCCAAGAAGAGTGTGCTTTCGCCAGTTCAGCGGACCACTTTTCTAGGCGTGGTATGGGATTCGACGACGATGCAGGCACGTCTGTCGCCGGCTCGTATAGCCTCGATTATCTCGACTGTCACGCAAGTGAAGCTAGGCCAGTCACTCACTGTAAAGGAATTCCAGAGAATTCTGGGTCTGATGGCAGCAGCATCCAACGTGTTACCGTGCGGCCTGCTGTACATGAGACCACTACAGTGGTGGCTCAGGACCAAGGGGTTCTCCCCGAGGGGAAACCCGCTCCGCAAGATCAAGGTCACGCGACGTGGTCTCCGTGCCCTGGCTATGTGGAAAGAACCTTGGTTCCTGTCCCTGGGACCTGCGCTGGGAGCCCCGTGTCGCCGGGTAACGGTGACGACGGATGCCTCTCTCACGGGCTGGGGAGCGATCATGAGTGGTCGCTCGGCCCGCGGGCTGTGGCAAGACCATCATCTCCGATGGCATATAAATTGTCTAGAGATGATGGCGGTGTTTCAGGCTTTGAAACACTTTCTCCCAGACCTCAGAGATCATCATGTTCTTGTCCGGTCAGACAACATGTCTGTGGTCTCTTACATAAACCACCAGGGGGGTCTGCGCTCACGTCCATTGTACAAGCTGGCGCGCCAGATCCTGTTGTGGTCCCAGGGGAAACTTCGGTCGCTGAGAGCGATTTATATCCCAGGATACTTAAATCGGGGAGCGGACATCCTGTCGAGGCAGGGGCCGAGGCCCGGGGAGTGGAGACTTCACCCCGAGGTGGTGGAGCTCCTTTGGAGACACTTCGGTCGGGCCGAAGTGGACCTCTTTGCGTCCAGGGAGAACTCACACTGCCCGCTGTGGTTTTCCCTGAGTCCTCCAGCTCCATTGGGGCTGGATGCGTTGGTACAGGAGTGGCCGAGGGCACCCCTGTACGCTTTTCCCCCGATTGCTCTGCTCCCAGGGGTTCTGGAAAGGATTCGCCAGGAGGGGGCCAGTGTACTTCTGGTGGCCCCCGTTGGCCAACCAGGGTATGGTTTGCGGACCTGATTTCCCTTCTCGAGGGTCCTCCTCTGGAGATTCCGGTCAGGAGGGACCTTCTGTCTCAAGCGGACGGGGGATACTCCACCCCCGTCCGGAACTGTGGAGGTTGTGGGCTTGGCCTCTGAGGGGGCCAGCTCATAGATTCAGGTCTCTCGACTGAGGTCGTGGAGACCATCCTCCAGTCCAGAGCCCCATCCACGAGGAAGTTGTATGCCTCGAGGTGGAAACTGTTCACCTCTTGGTGTGGAGAGCGACAGTTGGATCCAGTTAACTGCCCGTTGCCGGCAGTGCTGGAATTCCTTCAGGAACGCTTCTCCACAGGGTTATCGTACTCCACACTAAAGGTGTACGTGGCGGCCCTATCCGCTTACCATGTCCCTTTGAGTGGAGCTTCTCTTGGGAGACATCCCTGGTAACCCGTTTCCTTCGTGGTATCCTGAGGCTGAGGCCGGTAGTGCGTACGAGGGTACCGACCTGGGATCTAGCGGTTGTGTTGGAGGGGCTCTGTTTAGCCCCTTTCGAGCCCATTGATGAGGTGCCTGAGAAGTTTCTTACTCTCAAAACCATCTTTCTCCTAGCCATCTCTTCCCTAAAGAGGATTGGAGATATTCAGGCGCTGTCGGTTTCCCCCTCGTGCTTGGAATTTGCTCCCGGTATGGCGAAGGCTTTCATCCTCCCTAGACCGGGGTATGTTCCGAAGGTTCCAACTACGGTTGTCAAACCTATAGTGCTACAGGCCTTCTGTCCTCCTCCGTTTCGGACACCAGACCAGGAGAAACTAAATCTGCTCTGCCCGGTGAGGGCCTTAGACGCATATGTCCACAGAGCTGCCCTGTGGAGGGAATCAGAACAATTATTTGTCTGCTTTGGGCCTCCTAATAGAGGTTCTGCGGCGTCTAAGCAGAGAATGAGTAAGTGGGTGGTCGAGGCCATTTCACTTGCTTATGAGTCCTCTGGTCAGCCTTCTCCCTTGGCTGTCCGGGCTCATTCAACCCGGAGTATGGCTGCCTCTAAGGCATTTTTATCAGGAGTTCCCTTGTGTGACATCTGTGAGGCGGCAGGATGGTCTTCACCTCACACATTTGTGAAGTTTTACCATCTGGACTTCAGCTCCACCCCTGGGGCTCAGATGCTTTCGTCAGAATGTGCACTCTGATATTCATACAACGGACACCTGCTCGCATGGCGGCGTTGGTATTAGCGTTCCCACGGCGTTTACACGCAGCTCGAAGTTCCCTGAATGGGAACGTCTCTGGTTACGTATGTAACCTTAGTTCCCTGAAGGGAACGAGACGCTGCGTGTCTATGCCATACTCCCAGCATGCCCGTGAGCGCTTGCTTCAGTCCTATCAGAAGCTGTTGCGCTTGTGTTTCGGGGATGCTTTATAGTTTCCTGGTCGATACGTCACCCCGCCTATGACGTTCCGTCTCGCCATTGGACAGATTTCATACGTGCTTCATGACTCGTCACGCAGAGGCGTTCCCACGGCGTTTACACGCAGCGTCTCGTTCCCTTCAGGGAACTAAGGTTACATACGTAACCAGAGACGTTAATTCTCCATTTTCGCCATTGAAATCAAGTTATGCGCTCTGTACGGAACACCATTATCAGCCTGTACGGAACATCGTTAACGCTTATCATCTTCCGTACACAGGTGGAGGAGGTAGTTTTCCCCACTTTTCTCAAAAACGATTGGTCCAAAAGACATCAATCAAAGTGTGGACCAATCAATGGATATTCCCCCGGAGAATGATCACACAAACATGCTAGTCTCGCTCTCAGAAACAGAGGAATGGTCGCTGACGTGCGGTGATAGGCTAAAAGTGTACGGAACATGGTTAGTCTACATTAACTTACCTTAGCTAACTTAGCTGCTAGCCTCTTCTGAAAACGATTGAGATGCTAACGGACTTTTTCGAAGACCCAAAATCATTTCTATAAAGTAAATATTCAACAGAAGCGTATCAATTACACGCAATAAAGGTGTCAGGAATATTTTTATGTAGTATTTGTGTGATTTTGTTAACTTAACTTACCTGAACGCAGTGACAACAGCGAGAGACGCTAGTTGGTGTTTGTCAGTTGACGATATCCTGTTTCAAACTGCTCGCGCGCTCCTGTGATTTGAATGTTCACGCGCACGCGCATCAAAGGCACGCACGCAGCATTAAGAAAAACATCTTATAATAATTTATAATGTCATTAATATTAAATCATGAAGTTAAAACAAATTTTTTAGTTCTATGATATTTGTATACCATATTTGCTTTTGATTTTATTTTTATTGTAGGCGGGCCTATTTATATATAAATAAAAAAATAAAAATAAAACAAATATTACAAATCAATAATTTCCAGCAACTGTCATAGACGTCCAAATGCCGTCCAAAAAAGTTACCCAGTTTAAGGTCAAATTTTGGACGTCAAGATGACGTCCAAGTTGGGTCATGGTTGGACGTCCAAATAACAGACCTAGTTTGGACGTCGAATAGACGTCCACAATTGGTCATGGACCGACGGACCCAATATAGACATGATCTGCACGTCTATCCGACGTCCAATGTTTAGTGGGTAACTACTTATCTCTAACTCTCTCTCCCGTCAAGTGAGCATTGTAGAGCAAGTTCAAACACTAATGTTGAAGCAAGCCATGAAAACGCCCACATTGATAAAAACATACAGTTTATTACGGATCTAACCTCGTCCTAACCTTTCGTCTTGCTGCGCAGTGAGGAGATCCTGGAAAAAAAGTTACCTCAGTAACAGTTTCATTTTGAGGAGCATGGATTCAGCTGATGCAGTAAGTCATTTATTATAAGTGCTTTGTTCTAATCGCGTTTGTGTCTGTAAACTGCACAAAGACTGTTTAAATATCAAATGCGCGTCTGATAGGAAGGAATAGACGAATTCACAGATGCACGCGCTGTGCATTAATTCACTTTCGCTTGTTCCCTGAGAAGGGACCCTTGTTCCCTGAGAAGGGAACGAGACACTGCGTCGAGAATCGACACTTTGGGGATGCTCCCTAAGCGTGCGCCTCTGAAGTATGAATGAAACTAATCCAATCCTGATTGGTGTTGCATCGTGACGTAACATGTGACGGCATACCCGGAAGTATAAAAGTGACGCTGTCACAACACACGCTAGCCTCACGATGAAGCAAGACGCTCTAAGGCCTAAAGGGGGCGTGGCAGAACGACGCACTGTCTCGTTCCCTTCTCAGGGAACAAGAGTTGTAGTCATAACCCGAGACGTTCCCTTTCGAGGGAACTCTACACTGCGTAAAAAGGGCCTTCAAGGCCTTCACTCTGCCAGGCAAACTCCAAGAAAGCTGGCATTACTGCCAGGGCTTGGAGATCTCCCACCCTCTTAAGTGAGGTAATTGCTAAGAGAAAGCCATTTTCAGTGTTAAGTCCTTAGGCGAAGCCGACTCTAAAGGTTCGAAGGGGGCCAGGGATAACCCCTCCAGAACTATTGCCAGGTCCCAGGCAGGAACCCTGGACCTGGCAGCCGGCCTCATCCTCCAAGTACCAAGGAGAAAACGAATGACCAACTGGTGCCTTCCCAGAGGACCATCACTTAACGGTGCGTGGAAAACCGCAATGGCAGCCACGTACACCCTAAGCGTGGACGGGGAGAGACCCTCAGAGAAACGATCTTGGAGAAATTCCAGAACTGAAGCCACCGGGCAGTTTACTGGATTTAACCCAAGTTCTCTACACCAAGTGACAAACACATTCCACTTGAAGTCATATAATCTCCTGGTAGATGGAGCCCTAGAGCTAAGTATGGTTTCAACCACTCCAGCTGATAGACCAGCATTTAGGTACTGAACCCCCTCAGAGGCCAGACCCACAGCTTCCACAGCTCTGGGTGAGGGTGGAAGCTTGTGCTCTCCGCCTGAGACAACAGATCCCTCCTCAGAGGAATCTGACATGGTGGAGCTATCAGGAGTGATACTTCTTATGTCCGAAAACCATACTCGGGTCGGCCACATTGGGGCAACCAGGAGTAGACTGATGCCCTCCTGACAGACCCTCTCCAGGACTCCCGGCAGCAGAGTGATCGGGGTAATGCGTACAGGCGAAGCTTCGGCCAGGCCTGTACTATGGCATCCAACCCGAGTGGGGCTGGATGTGAGAGGGAGAACCAAAGTGGACAGTGGGACGTCTCTCGAGACGCAAATAGATCCACTTCCATCGGTCCAAACCTCTCCCATATCAACTTCACCACCTCCGGATGAAGTCTCCATTCCCCGGGCCTCAGCCCCTGCCTCAACAGGATGTCTGCCCCTTGTTTCTGAACCCCCGGTATATACATTGCTCTGATAGAGAGTATTTTCCCTTGGGACCAAAGGATAATCTGATGCGCCAGTCTGCACAGAGGGCGCGATCTGATTCCCCCTTGTCGGTTCAGATAGGCTACCACTGACCGTACTAGGACGTGGTGACCTTTGATGTCTGCTAGGAAGCTCCTCAAAGCCCTGACCGCGCCCCAGCCAGTGAGGGAGGCGTCCGCAGTTTCCTGGTGACATGACACTCCCAACACTGGCCCTTGGGATAGGAACCAAGGTTTCTTCCATATTCTCAGAGAACGAAGGCATCTGCGCGTTGCTCTGATCATACGAAACGGATTCCCCTCGGGAGAAAACCCCTTGGTTTTTAACCACCACTGAAGGGGCCTCATGTGTAGCAGGCCCAAAGGAATGATGTTGGATGTCACTGCCATGAGGCCCAGCATTCTTTGAAATTGCTTTACAGTGAAATTGCTTTACAGTGATACAGTGGTAAGCTTCAAAAGCGAACCTCAGGTATCTCCTGTGACATTGAAGGTTGGAGAGAACATAGGTGTCTTTTAGATCTATCGTGACAAATTAGTCCTCGGTTCTGACTCTGAGTTAACATTTCGAACCTGCACCTCCTCAGAGATCGGTACAAAAACCCAGAGCACTAGAATTGGCCTTAACCCCCCATCCTTCTTTGGAACTATAAAAGTACAGGCTGTAAAACCCGGACTCCCTGTCTGAAGGAAGAACACGTTCTATGGCTTCCTTTAGCAGCAGAGTTTGAACTTCTTGTTCCATCACCTGAGCCTGCTCTGGGACCACTGTAGTCTGTACCACCCC